AGCATTTGCAGAATTATTTGATGAGGCTATTCGTCAAGGATTACCTGCTGTTCAAACGCAACATCCAGGGTATTATTTCCAATTGGCTGCCAATCATGCAAGTTTAAGACAATCTGCGTGTAAAGAACTCTGTCAGGTATATGAAGAGCTTAGTTTTTTAAACAAATACATCACATTTTCTGTTTATATCACATTATTTGAGTTTCAATATTTTAGCATATAAGCAGCTATCCAGATCCTGATCCATTACTAGGTGAAGAGAAACTGGAATTTTATGGACAACGCCCATGGAGACCTGGGAAATTAAGCGCGGAACCAGCAGACACAGCTCGAGAAGCTATTGGCATACAAGCTTTACAACATAGGGAAAAGACTGCAGTTAATCATTCTGTAAGATAATTACTCTTATATATATCTGTGCTTATTGTACATTTTCCAGATAAGCATACATAAATCGTAAAATATTTACATTTCTTTCCAGATGATAATTATTGGTTTACTAGGAAACGCGATATCGCAATTCAAAATATACCGTTGTCCAAGAATGCGACGATTATTAGGTATTAATTTGTCTTTGGAAATTTATATGTAAAAATTACTTATACTTATAATAGTTATAATGTGTGCCTTCCATTTAACGACACAAACATTCTATCTTTTTTTTCAACATTTGATGATAACGAAGACAGAATGATGCTTGTATCACCGACGAGATATTAAAGACAGTTAGCCAAAAGCAAATTTTCATGGCTGTCAAATGAGTACTAATTGAAGAACGTTGATATTACCAACCATTTTGGCTGTACCGAGGATAACAAATAATTATTATTTTATTATCGATAATGAAAAGTTTATATTATTTTTTAATGTTTGTAACGTTTGCCGTACGTATACATGAAATGTGTAATCGGTGCATCTGAATCAAAATCGCTATTATCCTCAGTACAACCAAAATGGCTAGTAATATCATCGTTTTTCAATTACTCTCGGGCCCATCGGGAGTAATTGACAGTTACAAAGATTTGCTTTTGGCCGGCCGTCTTTAACAATACCTCGTCGGTGTCCAGTGACAAGGTCGACTTGTGTTGGTAAATGGAAATTATAGAAGGCATCCAGGGATGCGTTCAGGAATTTTTGGTATATCATTTTATCCTTGTTATTCACCAAATGTTAAACAAGGATAAAATGATAACTATGCACCTGAAGCTTCTGAGCGTAGTTTAATATAAAATTCTTTTCTTTTCTTTCTTTTCATAGTTGTACAAATGGCAGAAGAGTACTTTAATGCTCGGGATTATGGCAAAGTTCTTACGTAAGTTAATCTTTTCTCTCTGCTCATAATTAAAGTCTTTAGATAATGAAACTTTGTTATATAATGGTAAAGTTATCAATTCTTTCATTATTTCCTTCAGACTAAAACTTCTTGCGTTAATATAAAAATCGTAAAATTTTGTTAATTAGATTATTGATGCATATGTTGTGGGAATATCGTGGTGAACGATGGCCAGTCTTACTCACAGATATTTTAAAAAATGCGTTGCGAGCCGCATATCTGTCGACCAATATCCAAGACTATCTTACTTTGACCCTCGAAGCTTTAGGACCTGAAACTACATTTTCAGAGGAACGACAAGCTATTATTTATAATAATATTATGAATATACTACAGGTTAGTTTGATAAAGCATTTATGTTTCGCTACTGGCTATATAATGATCATTGTATAAGTAAATGAAAGTTTATTTGATTTGAATATTAAAAATCAACAAAGAAAAAATGGCTTTACAGAAAAAACCACCGAATCCAGAACCAGATTTGCCAGATGACATTAAGCATCCTGCCGTGGAAAAATGGATGTTGGAATTAAATCGTTCAGAGCCAAATATTTTTACAATTGATGATAACAACATGACATCATTTGTCGATCTTAAAGCAAGATTCTTGCAACAAACATACGCAGTGAATACAATGATAACAGTGGAAGTTATCGTAAGGTATTTAAATTTATCTTAGCATTTAAAAATATATATTGCTTTAAAAATTATTGGATATAGTTTTATCTTTTTAACTGCAGGAATTCTTACTGTGGCGTCATTGAATTTTCCAATGCATCGATAACAATCAGTGGACCAGGTTACAATGCTGAAATTCCGATTGATGAGACTCAACAGAGAGATCTTATTTTTCAACCTAAGGAAACGAAAAAGTTTTACTTCAACTTTAGAGCGCCTCATCAAAATGATGGCGCAGAAATTCGTATTAGCACAGTTTCCTTACAAATGGGTGATAGCGCTCATTGTTGTATTTTATTGAGATTTTCAGCTATGGGTAGAGAAACGAATTTGTTGGATCGTTTGTATCCTGAAATACAACAACTTCGGTATGTTTATTGAACTTTATCAGTTTTTGGTATCCATTAATCATTTCACAAGAACTAACATAATTTTTATTGCAGTGGAGGTGAGTTTGAGGCAATAAGACCGTTAATTCACGCGGAGATTAAACGGGAAGAGTCGAGTTTAAGTCTAGACGCAGAATCCAACAATCCTGCGCTTTTAGGCGAGTGGCTACCCATCACGATATCGCTATCAGCCAATGAAAGTGTTAATGCAGTCTATTTACATATAATACTTGTATCAGATGTTAGCAATGAGCAATCAAGTATGTTTTCACGTTTTCATATTATTTTATTTTTTTATAAATTATCATTAAAAAAAATTTTATTATCTTTATTTTTTTCTATCAAGTTGTTCATATTTCAGCTGAATTAAGCATTAATATGCTTAGTAAAGAATCAAAAATATCTATTACCGTTGGCGATATGACAAAAGGCACTTCGACCAAACATATTGTGCATATTAGAGCACATAAAGTAGGCGACAGAAATATTATAATAAAGGTATTTATAAATAACTGTTTCTATAAATTAATATATCAACTGATTGTATAATATGATTATTTTGATTGTATGTAACAGGCAGACTATACGAGACCCGAACAAATTAGAGGAAGCAAAGAATTAACATATTTGTTGGCGGTTAAGAAACCATTCGAAGTTGCAACACATTTTTACACTACGCTATTCGAACCATTAACAAAGGGTTTTGTTAATGAGTCTTTTATCATTATGCCCCATATTACATGCGTTTCTCCATCGCCTATAAACATCCTAAGTACTTCTGTAGAATTGGTAAGTCTCTACAGAGAATGTAATATAATTTAATAATCTCTATAAGTGTGTATTAGAAAAATTAGAACGTTGTAATAAACTCAAGCTCGAAATTAGGCAGATTCTATTCAAAGAGAGAACAATCTCGACAATGAGGAGTCCATTTTATCGGGTGTTAAACTCTGTGATGGTGAGACAGGGACTGATGCCTATTGCTTGATTCCAAAGATAGGTGGTGAGCAGCCAATTAGTATTGGAGTATATACCATCAAGTGGAAAAGGTAAAAATAATCGGTAAAGATTTATATAGTATAATAATATACTGCATGATGCAATCTGTAATTTTCGGTATGTTTACAGAGCAAATGACGAAACTGCGTTAGAAACAAGTAGTAGTGTAACTTTAGCTCCTTTATGGGTCGAAGATACGGTAATCGGATTGGAAGCCAAAATGCCGGCCCACGGATGGGTTCGCACGCCGTTCTGTATATCATATTTTATAAAAAACCATTCTGATTACCTCGTCACTTTGCGTCTAGCTATGGAAGGCAGTGATGCCTTTATGTTTGCTGGACAAAAACAAGTATGTTTTTTTCATGCTTGTACCTTACACGATGTACGCAATGATCTTATTAAATTTTTTTTTCAGGTTGATATTTACATACTGCCTAGAAATATTCGAAGGGTTGATTGGGTTTTACGACCGCTAGTCGCCGGTTTTGTCGCTCTTCCAACATTATCGCTAACTGTACCTGCAGGTAATATTATCTGCTATATAGAGCAATTTAAAGATTTTATATTTGCATTTATTTAATACATTACAATTGTGTTCAATATACAGATGAGGAACACAAGCTGGGTAAAAAACGACTATCTGAGATGATTGAACGTTCATTGCCGAGTCATATATATATACTGGTAAGAAAAAAATTACATATAAATAAAATTGTTTTTATAATGTTTTTATAATGTATTGTTATATGTTATGTTTTTGCAGCCGAAGTCGCAATCTTTAGGAGAATAAATAAATTCGTCGTTGGGATATTTTCTTTTTACGAAAAGAAAAATAAATCTTTCCTCAATCGAAATGCGTTATAATATTATAACATCAATTTTGCACAGACAATTAAATAAGCTAATATATATATATATGTATCATATTTATTAAAGTCACGCGAATATAAACTTTTCTTGGATATAATTTATTTAAAGTTTATTTTATTATTACAATTTTAATAAAATATTCCAAGATTATAATTTTTAACAGACACTCATTAAATGGCAGTAATCTACATTACTATCGCGTTACATTTTTTTATACATAACATAGATATTGATCGTTTATAGGAGCACAATCGAGAAACATTACGTTACGCGTTACCATGGAAACCATGCAATCTACAGTATATTAGTAAGTGTATGTATGTTCAGTCGTGGACATATCGGTTGCGACATTTTTTTAAAATAAATTTCGAAACGCACTAATATTTTGCAAATGCGAACCACGATTGATATACTGTCTCTAGATTAAAGATAGTACACCATTGTGGTTCAAATTTGCAAAATATTAGTTATCTATAAAAAAAAAATATATATATATATATATATGGAAATATATATATATATATATATTTTTTTAATATATACTAAACATCTATGAAAAAAAGTATTGCAATCGATATATCTATGACTGTACATACATACAAATGTACAATAATTTTCCTTCTCTTTTCTGTTCCTACATATCATAAAATAATTTTAATTAATTATTAAAACATTGTTGTTGATAAATACACTCGCATATAGTGAACCGCAACGGTCTTTCGTAAAATGGCAAGGAGCGGCAGTGTTGATATTGGAAGTGTTTTTGACGAGTACCTGCAAAAAGAACAGCAATTCGAACAAGAGATAGAAGAGCGGTATATTTACGCTGAAATTCCATACCTGCTATTGTTATAAGTTATATATGCATGCACACCTTTTTTCCTTCAAAAAGAATGTTATTTCTCATTTTATTTTTCAGCAACAAATTACGTCACGAGATTCGCAACAGGAATATTTCCAAAGTTTCTGATTCATCGCCAACGAATTTATCTTTAAATTTGGAAAAATCTCGTGTTCGTAATCAGACTCTCCTAAAGGTTTGCTATATAACATATTTTTTAAATAAAAAAATAGAAAAAGTGTAATGAAAAATATTAGAAGCAAAATTTAGTATTTGTATATAGAATGTAGAAGATACGTGCAAACTATGTCAAATAGGCTGCTATTTTGAAGTAATTTTACTGATAAGTTAATGTTACTCAATGTTATCTATCGTTTTTCTTATATTTTTCACAAATGGAAATTTACCATAAAGTCATTTTGACCTATCTATAAAATAGAGAATTCTAGTTATATTTTTATATGCTTTAATATAAAAAAATATTAGAGAGATAGAATACATAACATATATACACATAAAAAAATTATTAAAATACATGTGTATAAAGTATATATATAAAGATATTAATATTTTTTAATTTGACATTAATTATAAATTATCTTAAAAAATGGACTTAATTTAATATTTGTTATTATAAACTATCATATTAAAACTTTTAAATTTAAAGGGCGGATGTTGTAAGATGTGATGAGATATTTGTAAAAGTGTACATATGTATTGCGCGTATCTAAAGAAAGTTATTATTACATATTAATTGATAGATTTTGAATAAAATTGAGAATTTACATATTACTTTTATGACAGGATTTGGAGATGTCTAGAGCACGTCTGAGAACTTACGCTTCTTATACGCCTACCGATGCGGAATTACAGCAGATTTCGTCGACCTATCGAAGTCATCTTCGCAGAAATATCCAAGATACGGAATCATGACAAACTCATTTTACTCGTCAGTGATACTTTCAACCCGATAACTCGAGCCGAACGAACAAACTTTGAAATGAAAAGTTTGTTGATCGTTAGGATCGATGAATCGGGTTGATTACTTTTATTTTATGACGTGGCTTCTTCGAGTGTCGAGCGACGTGAGAACTGATCCGTAAAATGTGCGAAACGTGAACACGATATATTTTTGCGCACTTTCCTGCCGCGTGGTTGCCACAATCGGGTTCGAGCTATTGCACAAACAACGGCTGCCATTTTTGTAAAGTAAAATAAAGCAGATTGTCGAACAGGCTGTTGCGTCTTATGTATCTTATATGAATCTATATTATCGTCGTTCATAAAATAATTATCGCCACTCGCGGTAACATATTACATTGTAATTCGAACAGCGTCAACGTGTAATATATTACAAGCGAATATGTTCGCGGTTGACTTGTTACGTTCCGGCGAAATATGAGCCGCAGACTGAAATCTAACGAAGCTAATTTGCATTCTAATCTATCCGTTCAAAGGTCTCGCGAGGCCTAATTATAAAGGCAAACGCGTTACTTTTTGAGGACAATCGCATAGCGATTATTCGAACTTACCATGTGATAGGCCGAGGGTCGATCTTCCTATTCAGCGCCGTCCAGGAGCTTCTCGAGGAATTGTGGAAGGACGTATAAGGAGGGTGCGTGGCCAAGTGACGAACGGTGTCCACCTGTGCGCTCACGCATGCTATATTCATATTTATTTTCTATGTGCAACGGTATTATCGTCGCCGATAATTACCGGCGTGCACAACGTGCATACACGATAGGACGGCCACGTATCCAGAAATTGCCCGATAAGAAGCTCGGGGCCAATAATTCGCTGGGAGAACTCGCGTTTATTTTAAGCCGCGCTGCCTTTTTACACACGACTCGCAAACGCGAATCTCGACATTTCGCGAACTATTTATTTCGCAGGCGTGACTTTTCGACGTTGAATCTACCGACGAGATTAGATTTACGGTTTTATCGTCGGCCTCATACACACGAAATGGCATTTCAAACTTGGAAAATGCGCAATTTATGTAAATTTTATCGTACAAGTCGAGCGTCCTTGCTCGTCGTAGCTTCACTTACCTTTCGTACCTTTGGAAAAATATTTTCAAAACACGTTAACTCCAAACGTAACGTGCAAATATTCTGTATCGTCGCAGAAAATTCAGGACTGGAAGGCGCACCAAATGAAACATAAATGCGGTTTCGGGATACAATTTTGTATTTCTACGTGGCATATATTATAACTGTAGCAGCTGTGCAAACGGAATTACGCTGTGACTTCTTACTTTGACCATTGTGTCGCCCGCAACATCTGTATCAACAGCCTCATTATCTCGACGATACCGTTTCTTTCACAGTTTGGTCAGAGACCCCGTGATACTCCTCACGAATGTATCCATAAATTAACGTTTTAATTAATTTGATTTTTTTCTCGAAATCGAAGATAAAATAAAAATTGTCTCGTTTTTAGAGAAAACCTAGATCTAGATATATATACAATATTCGGCTGAAGAGGACTTGAGTACAGGTTGAAATTAATGCCGTTCGCTTCTTAATTGTGAATATATAGTGAGTGTATCTATATTACATTTGAAATTTTGTATCACACGAATATCTGCACTTGTCAATCTACGTTCTACATCTTTACTTGGATTTTTTTAAAATTATTTTACATTATTTCTACGAATTTTATTGCACGATACTGCAAAAACGTATGACTCGGTTTATGAATTTATCTATCTAGAACGCACGTGTTAAAATCACGCTTTTAAGCTATCGAAGGATATTTTATGGAATTGATATAGAATATTGCGTTTCCTTACGTTTATTGTTTGTCTGATTGTACAAGCCTGGTGGGAGTTCGTTGTATTTGACTACCTGACTGTCAGGCATTAATTCATTATTGCCGCCGTTAGTGTTCATTGGACGATGGACGCGTAACGTTTGCTGTCCTTGGTACATGTAGATCAAGACGTTCAATTTTTTAGTTTCTTTTTGTCCTTTGTAGCAAACTCACAAATAAAAGAACGTAAGTTTTGTATTATATATTACAAGTGAAACAAAAAACCTGAAAAAATAACGTCTACGCGTGCTTTTGATTTTATAATCTATATATTGTATTAATAACTTAATACATCCCACATTTCATTATATAATAAAATAATGTTTTTCTTTTATATTTAAAATTTCTTAACAATTTAAGTCGTGAAAGTCGTTTACAATATTTTTACCGCGTTAATCTTTTTGAATATCAAAAGTTATAAATATTAATTTAATTCTTTGAATAATTAATATTATATAAGGATGTGAGGTAATTGTGACTGTGTATACACTAGTATAAAGTGATTTTATTCTAGTGTATTTGTCAAATACATAAAATAATATGAAATAAACTACATGAAAAAAGATCAACATTAAATAATTTATTAATTAGCACGTAAAAGCGATAGTATGCAATGCTCGACAAAAATTTAATTACATATAATAATTTTATATTTTTTAAATTTATATGCGTCTTTTCATCTCTGCTTATCACAGCACTGATTGTTATGCTAAAACACCCTACTTTCAAACATAATAGTAAAATAAAATAAGTTAATCAATGAAATTGAATTTAATTCAATTGCTCTATTAAATTTGTTACTTATTGACATTATCCAACAACAGTATACTTTTATATTTAAGTTATCTTTTAAATAAAATTAATCGTTCTTTTAAATTTATCACTTATTGATATTGTTCAACAATACTTTCATATTTTTTAAATATAAAGCTATTTGTGTGTTTAAAATTTAATAAAACTACTTATATAAGTGCAAGCTTACTTATCAAACAGAAATATAGGCTTGTTCTTTTCAAAATTTCTTGATTCTGAAATTGATTTCTATCTTTTTTTCCTCTATATTGCAAAAGAAAAAGAGAAAAGATGAACAATGCAACAAATTCAGCCAAAAAGAACAGGCCTAATCTCCTGTTAATCTGTTTACATTTTAGTCAAAGAATTTCATATATCCACTTTTCACAAAATCTTATCTTAAGTAACTGCATTCATTAATAACTAAATAATATTACTATATAATAACTATAATAATATTACTATTAAATCTGTAGAAAATTCTTGATTATAGGCGCAATTTTTTCAGGCTCATTCAAATGTACATGATGTGTACCTTTCACTTCGCAATACTCAAATTTCTTAGCTCCTATTTTTATGACATCTAATACTTTCTGATAATGTTCAGGTTGTTCAAATTTCAATCCAGGAACAGCACGGATGTTGAGGTAAGCGCATTTTATCTGAGATGCGTATTCAAGTGTTAGATCTAGAGATAATATGCCTAAAAGGGAAACCTGAAAAAATATAAATAATTTTAAATAACACATTAACACATTAATTTGTAGAATCATAAAAATCTACAATCTTAGGTTTTGTTAAATAACATACTGCACAATTAATTAAATGCTTTTACCTTTAATCTTGGATCACGAGAAAAGTAATATTTGTCCTTTTTGTACGCTGGTTGTATACCACGTTTCATTAATATCTCTGCTCCTTCCTTTGTTATAGATCCATCATATGCTTTTTCTACTATCTCAAGCATTTCGTCATATTCGTAGGATGGTACATTATCCAATGTTAATAATTCATATTTCAAAAATTTGTCAATACATTCTCCGGTGGCTGCAGCTGTTTTCTTGACATCCTTTACACTCGGGCTAGCGATGTCCAAACTTATAAGAAACTCGACTTCATCTGGGTATGATGCCGCATACAGAAATGATATAGCACCACCCAATGAGTGCCCAAGAAGTTTGACCTATTTTCACAATACAATCAAATTATAACAAACTTATAGTATTTTAGTACATATAGTATACTGTAATGTATATAATTATTCTTATATACATAAAATTCTAAAATACACATAACACAAAGGTGATATATATTAAAATATTCACATTAACATTCCCATATTTATAAAAAAGAATTTATCATGCAATACGTTTGAGTTAGGCATAATAAATACAAATGCAATGCAAGTGCAAGCAAGGATGACTGTTAAATATGTATGTGTAAAAATATAAGTATGAGGTTATTGGAAAAGATTTTTAATCTCGATTATAAAGAGTGGGTAAATTTATCCATTCGCTAACCTTATTCCATTTGAAATGTTTTATAATTCTACGAAGGAACATGACACCGTCCAAATAGACGTAATAGAATTGACTCTTTGGATAATGCGAAGATAAACCGTGCCCCGGCATATCCAGGCAAAGAACAGAAATTTCATCGCACAGCAATGGCATTAATGTGTCAAAACTGCCTGCGTTATCCTGGCGACCGTGTAGCGCCAGTATCGGTTGGAGCTCACTAGGGCCCCACCATTTGCCTGCAGGGTAAGAGTCCCACAATTATTTTATATTTTATTTCATTTCATTTTTCTTTAAATTGTGACATTTCATCAGGTCACAGATCTTGCTCTTACAAGCTTGCAGCAATTCGTTAAACGAGAAGAGAAAGATCTTACAATTTTCTTTCGAAAATGCAACAAAGTTACAGCTGAGATAAAAAAAGCCTTTTCTGTTCATTATCCAAGGATACAATGTAACGTATAATACGCAGTTATACAACGATACTTTGCATCTTTTAATCAACCCGTTATTATTTGCATCTAGAATTTTAATATTTATATCAGACATACTATGCGTACATAACAGTCAGCCTTATTAAATGCTTTATTAATTATACTCAAGTAGTGCAATGTGAATATTGAATAGTGAATTTAATAATGTGTTATATCTCAACGTTGAATGTAACATATAATTATCGCAAAAAGCAAATTAAATATATGCAATTAAGTGACTGGTAGTGGTAATCAATTATAAATAGACTTCTCATACTCCATAAGGAACGCTGAAATTGCATTTAACTTCTGCAAAACAAAATATATAAAAACCCATGCTTTTGTCTCTATCTCATGTTACCATTATATTTATAACTTATAAAAGAAAAAAAAAGAATTTTAATCGTTGTATAACATTGACTCGCTGGCTAACCTTGTTCCACTTGTAATATTTAACAATTCTACGCAGGGCGAGAACCCCGTCCCAAAATACATAGTAGAACTGTCCGAGCGGTAGATGAGAGGAAAGGCCGTGACCAGGCAGATCTATGCTCAGTATAGCTAAGTTTGGCAATAATTGTGCCAACTTATCAAAAGTTCCCGAATTGTCTTGCCAGCCGTGTATCGCCACTATAGGCTGCTTATCTGCCGGACCCCACCATTTTCCTGAATTTATCAACATGTTGAGTTTGGTGCGACATTTTTCGAGAGCGAACATATATGTAGGTCTGTAATTGCTCTTTAATCTACATGTCAGTATTGTCTAATCACGCGAAAATATATTTATGAGATACGTCCGACATTCATACATATGACAATGTTTCCTATGTCCCGACATTCATTGCCAATGCTGAAAATTTATAGCACGTTACACGCTGAAAACTTATAGCTCACATGTAACGTATGCTACATTTTCAACAATATATAATGAATATTGGAGCATAGCCTCTATATAAACGCGACAGAGGAAAGTTATCTTTCTACTTTGAAACGACGTTACTTACAATATAAATCATTTGCCAGATTAGGGAACGCAAGACGTAATGTATACTGACCTCTAATGTGGCCCCACGGCACCGGTATCTGTACATCCTTGACATCTGCAGGAGGTGACATTCAATTATTGCAGATACATTTAAATATTCCAGACGGTAGCATTAAACAGGAGTAACAGAACTAACCTTCTTTTTTATATCCATTCGTGGCCACACTTTCGGCGCTGTTCTTTTTCTCCTTGACATCCATCCTCGCTTATAGCTTGAAAATTTACGGTCGCTTGAAATTCTTGAAAGATCCGGTGCGAATCTCGCGTATGCTTCGTCAATGGAGCTACAAAGAGAGAAATCGCTCATTACCATCGGTTGAGAGAAAAAGAGAAATCTTACGGGAATAAATTAGGAGAAAAAAAAATGGATCTAAATCTCGGCGATCATGCGATAACGAGAGGTTATAATCGTCGAGTATCTTGAAGATCTCACGTATGTTACAGGAGAGCTCGAAGACGCGAACGCTGAATATTCGTACGGAAGAAAAAACGTCCTTCCCGTCACCTGTTTCTTGTTGCGGTTTCTTGTCGGAATGCGACGATTTCGTCACTATCGCTCTTTAAACATCGATGACGAGCACGTATTTTTGCAGGAAGTCAGTACGAAAAAGAAATCTCATTCGTATCAGTCTTTATCGAGTACGATAATACGTGTACATTATTTGCTCGACAAATCCGTATTCTCGGAGAAAGTGGTGCGGCTCCTGCGATTAAGCATTAAATAAACTAGGCCCGCGCGGACAGTCACACTGGTGTTGGAGTCTGTTGGACAGCACGCGTAGCTCTGTGTCCAGCTGTGTGACGTTGGATGCGCCACGAAACGAGCCAATCGCGCGTCTAACATCGGCATGGATGTCATCGTGACTTTGGCGTTTGACGCGCGATTGGCTCCTCGGAGCGACGTAATTTTGAAATCGATTCATTTTCCGCGCTCCGGTACGTGCAAAAAAATAAAAAAATATAGTAGATGCCTTGAAAGAAAAAGAGTAAAGAGAAAGAGAGAGAAAGAGAGTGAGCGTAAGCTATCGCAATCGCGAGGAAGTCAGGAAGTATGTACGCAGAACACCGGCTGGTACCTTTAACTTTTGCAATCGAGATCTCGCTTAGTCACGGCACTATAACGCCTCTTCTCGTTCTCGCCTCTTAATTGTCCTTTCCTTCCTAATATGCACAGGTGTCAGATGTCAGATGTCAATTATGCTCGCTTGAACTCTCGCGACACAGGAAACACATCCGAGAAGAAGACAAAAAAAAAGAAAGAAATCGACTCGTTAATATTAGGCTCGTGTGCACGATACTATTGCAGTATCACGGACGTTAATTTTAGACACTGCCGTACGTACTTACGTGCCTTACATACAATGTTTCTATCGCGATATCGTTACTAATTAGTTAATAATTGACTCATTACGTTCTTTATCGTACGAGTCCAAGTACGTGTGTGTACCGATATATCTATATTTCTGTTATGTGCACAAGACTCAGTGTAACATGAAAAAAGTTGAGAAAAATATAAAACATCGTCTCCTTTATTTATTAAGTTTTTTTTATTCACGACACAGGCTGCATTCAAGGAGCGCTATTACATTATTTTTCCTTGTTTCATGTCTAATTAACAATAAAAATAAAATGATATAATAGCGCTGACACAGCGCGAACACAGCTACAGCTGACAAGCAAAATTACAATGCAGAAATGCGTATAACTTAAATACTACGAGTCAAAGTGTGTTCATTTAGATAGGAATTGAGCGAAACTAATTTATTGGATCTTATTGCTTAAGCCGGTTCTTCGAAAAAATTATCATAATCAAATAGTACGATGCGTCGTAGTTCAATTATAGTATTCTCTAGTATCAAGAATAAAAATTTGATTTCGAAAGAAAAATTTAGAATTTTTAGAAAAGAGATTAAAAATTAAATAAAAGAATTTGTAATTGAGAAAGACGGGATCCATTAACGTTAAATAGCTAAATCAGCCGATTTGCGGATAAGTTGTACCTATATATAAGAAATCTTTTTTTTTTTTTCAGGTTGCAACGCGGATAGCGCAATAAAAATATCTAATATATATTGTATATTATATTAAAGATATGATATTCGGCATTATTTATTAAAGATTATCTCAAACAAGTTTCCAGAATTGTATTAGTAATATTAAAATTTTATGATAGCACAATTTTGCTACATGTATAAATACTCGCGCGTGAAATTGAGTTCGTAAGCGAATTGCGAGTGGCGCGTTTCGCAAGACAAAAACAAATAAAATTATATCATAAATATAATTGCGAAAAACATTACTTTTGCGCGTTAATATATCGATGTGATGAGTAATTAGATGCGCGTTCTCATTAAGCGCGATCGATATTTGCACGTGTGCCGTTCGTGATCGATAATGAATACATAGCACACCGATCACGCCTGATGATGCAACGTAACGCCGGTCGGGTCAATTTTTCAAAACCGAATCAATTGTAATCTGCAAACAAGTCTGGCCTCTTAGAATTTGCGCTTTCGGAGCACATTAAAATTTTAATAAAACGTATGTGATTTAAAAAAAAACATTAATGATAAACGCGAGGAGATTGAATTATAATTAACTACGAACGTTTTTGGATTTAAAATTTGATTACGATTACTAAAATTAATTACGCAATATGGAAAATATTTTCAAAAGCATATTACAGCGACGAATTGCGACGTCATGAACAAAACTTAATTATGAAGTCATTTTCAATAATCCATCTTCTACCTTAAGATTTAAATATTTTAATTTAAATATTGATTTTCTAAGATCTATTTTTTTCACACGTATAAAATGTCACAATGTTTTAAGTTTACTTTATGTTTGAACATAATTTCTAATATATATATATTATTTTTATTCCCATCATCCATCGTTCTTATATAAATATAATATATAAGGGGTATTCGGGGATCGAGCACGCTATTTATCAGCGCTATATTACATCCTCTTATATCCTTGTTTATTTGTTTTACATCATAATTATAAGGAATAAAGCGATAGAATAACGCGCGATCACGCGATCATGTAATTTAATCGATAATTATGCAATTTAATTATGTAAAAAAACTTACGCGGAAGAACGAGTGGATTATTGAAAAGTGAAAGGTAAAAAGTTTCACTTGAAATTACGTAATCGATATTCAGAGATATTTGCCAAAACGTGAAAGGCAACCAACTATAGGATGTATATACATATTATATGAAATTGTTCGGAATGATATGAATTCCAATCGTCGAATTATTTAATTAATTATTATTTCATAGATTTCTAATATATTGTGTTTTTTAGAGAAAAAATAATATATACTATCTATTTCGAACAATTTCATAATTAATATATGCCCTGAATGCAACAGAAAGAAAGAAATTTCAATTTTATCGATTATTTTCGACATTTTTTTGATAGCCAAAAATAGGCGCCCTATCAGGTGCGTAATATATACATATATATATATCTGTCGAAAACTGCATGATTTATGATTTAGATTGGGTGAGGCGACTGATGATATACCTATGTATAACAGCATTAAGTTGCATTAAAAAAAAACGGCCTCTTTCATTTATATCATAATTCCTACAAATATTTATACTACTTTATTCGACTTAAATGTTCTCGTTATTAAATACTGACCGATTCGGTTCTTGACCCTAACCAACGGGATCAAGCTTATCAAGAGCGCCAGCGTGGTATCTGCTACAAAAATCTGGTAATTCGACAGAAAATTTTGCATAACCATTACTTGATAATTATTATTATGATAACGATAATATTACAAGTTATTTTAGAAAAATATACTATTATTTACTATATACCGAATTAAAGTTTTATATCATTAAATAAATTGAGGTTATGAAGCTTCTTTCTCATAAGTCATCTCTTTCTTCATATGTCAAACATATAATAATATTTTTCGTTGTTTAATAATCTATATATGAACATCTAAGAATACAGTATTCATTCCTTAAATATCCGTTATCTAGATATATATGCTATCACAATGAACGACGAGTACATAGTGAAAACTGTTCTTCATGCTGGATCAGAAATTATTAACTTTGTACCAGGAACAAAAGTGCGTATATGTGTTGTTTTTCTTAGCTTTACAAGATATCTACTTATAAACTATGCTACGAACAATTATTTGTCAACTGATTTTATTCTAGGTTATATTTCACTTTAAAACTACAAAATGTGACTTTGACAAAACAGTGATAGACGACAGTAGGACGATGGAAAATCCAATGGAACTTATATTAGGGAAAAAATTCAAATTGGAAGTATGGGAAGCAATTTTACAAAAAATGGCATTGAATGAAGTCGCCTGTTTCAAAGTGCATAAAAGTGTATGTTTAAGATACTTATTACTATAACCATGTGCTTAGCGTGTGGAGTATACTTTTATAATGAATCCTGTTTCAGCTAGTGACTACATACCCTTTTGTCTCTAAGACATTAAGAGAAGCTGGCAAACCACAGTCACAGAAGCGTAATCACCATTGTTGCGGCGTTACTCTGCAGAATGAAGGCATTGGTTATCCTGATTTGGACGAACTTATAAAATGTCCTCAAGATCTGGAATTTACAATGGGTATAAATATAAATAGAACATCATATACTTTGTTTAAGCTTGTAATGAAAGTCTACATTTTAAATAATTTTTTGCATTTCTTTTTTCACAGTATAAAGATGCAATTTTTAAACAAGTTAAAACATATTTAAAATGGTATAAAGCAAGACAGAAAAACTTTTGTATTTTGCAGAACTTATCAAAGTGGTATTGCCAAATGAATATGAGAAAGAGTCATGGCAAATGACGGAGAATGAGAAGCTTGAAAGCATACCGCATCTGAAGGAAAAAGGAAATGCTTTGTTCAGAGAAAAAAAATATGACAGCGCATCTGAAATATACGCGAAGGCTATTGGAATATTGGAACAACTCATGCTAGCGTAAGTTCTTTCTATGAAGAAATATATTTCTTGAAACTGAATTGAATTATGTTGTGAGACAAAAGGTTTAAATGGTTGCAATGATTGTTAAATGGTTTATATTATAAATAGATTTTGATTTTTAGTGAAAAACCAAATGATGAAGAATGGTTATCATTGAATCGAATGAAGATACCATTGCTTTTGAACTATGCACAATGTAAATTATTAAATAAAGAGTATTATTCAGTTATTGAACATTGTACAACAGTTCTGAAAACAGAGCCAGGTATATGACAAATTTATTACAGATTCAATATTAGGTTGCATAAAGGCAGCATCAATATTATTAAATACTTTTTATTATACAGATAATATAAAGGCGCTTTATAGAAGAGGTAAGGCATACATTGGTGCGTGGGATGAAAAAAATGCCTGTAGAGATTTAAGAAAAGCTGTTGAAATCGATCCTTCTCTATATAATACTGTCGAAAAGGAGTTACAGGCATTTGCAGCAGCCATCAAAGAGAAGGATGGTATACAGAAAGAAAAATTATCGAAAATGTTTAAATGAATCTTTAATGATTTCGATGTTACTAACGTATGAAATTAATTTTTAAATATTTGTATCAAATTAATTTGACCTATATACATCTGTTTTCTTTCTTTAATGCTGAAAGCAGTAATTTTTTTGTATTGGTTTTTCCATTATCAAATGTCTCTAACTTTTGTAAAATTAATGTTAAGTCTATTGTGTGTATATATATAAAAGAAAACAAAATAATCTGTCGCACAAACGTATCTATATCCTTACGTTCGCTTTGATGCTTACAGCGTTCTTGGAATTATTTATCCTTGTTTATGAAATGTCATACAAGTTCAAATGATATTCATGAGCGCTATGAGCGCCAAATCGAACGTGCATATATATATATATATATATATACACACACACAATAAGGCTACAATTTTTTTCTCTTTTTTTGTCTGTGATAATTATATAAAGGATTGCTTTACAAAATAATAATGTGCAATGTAATAGAATTATTAATTCTTTCATGACCAAAACATTAATATAATATAATGTGAAATTGTGAGTAAAGTTTGAATTATTATTCGATAGTAAAGTAATGTTTTTCGCATCTTTGACACAAAAATATTATTGA